CTGATGTCACCAGTGACCTCCATGTCATCAATTTTAACAGATTTCATGTCTTTATGTTGCTGGATTTTTCAGAAGCTTTGACCACAGTTAAATGTCTCCCTTTGGCCTTGTGCTTGGCCTTTGTGACTTGAAGGTCTATTGATTTTTCTGTTACTTCCATGGCTGCTCTTTCCTCATCTCCTTTCACCAGCCCCTGCTCTCAATGACTGTTGATTGTTGGAGCTGCTCAGACAGCTCCTCTAGGGATTCTTGTTTCCATTTCTCACATGCTCCCTCTTGGCAATTTCTTTTACTTATGGCTAAAATTGGTGCCATAGGCTGTTGTCACTGCAAGTTGATTCTCTCCCAGTAACTCTCTGAGTTGACATCTTCATTGTGAGTTTGACCTAGACCTCTAACCCAGTATGCCCAAAACAGGCCCATAGCACCTCCTGCCCCACAGAATCCCCTTCCTCCTCCCATGCTTCCGGTCTCAGTGAAGAGCTTTGCCACCCACCATGTTGGGTTTACCATGACTTTTCCTTTTTCTTTATGTGTCTAGTTTTTATGAAAAAAGTATGAAATTCATCCTTTAAATCCTTTTCAATCTTATTTCTACCCTATGCCATTACCATCTCTTGTCTGGAGCACAGAAGTGGCTTCCCACGGGTCTATAATCATCTACTCTTGCCACCTTCAAATCCCCAGAATAGTCAAGGGGATCTTTGTGAAAAATGAAAATCTAATTTTGTCATCCCCTTGAATAAGACTTATCAGTGCTATTCATTGCTCTCAGGATACACTCCCAAATCCTGAGCATGCCTTATAGAGCATGCTGTTTAGGCCTAATCCAGCCCTTGTTTATTTCTTTCCCCCTTCCCTTCCTCTGATTTTATGCTTATATAGCACATCGAAAAAGAGGTTTGCCTTGATTCTTCATATGAGATTAGATGAGTGCACATGCATGAGATTCCATCTTTCCTTTTGTTGCACTCACCACACTTAAAATTATTGATATAAAGACTACGTATCTTACCATTATGAGCTTTATGAGAACAAGGATCAATGTCTCTCTTGTTCACTCCTCTGTCCTGAGTTCCTGGCACCAATTGAGTGCTTAATAAATGTTGAATAAATGAATACCAAATAAAGGAATGTGTTGAGCACATGACCTTGTGTTTAACTTTTCAATATAACATTTGGTATGTTCCATGTACACACACAGTGTGGTCCATTTCTATGTAATAATCTACAGCAAAAAAAAAAACCTAAAGCAGTGGTACCTCTTCTTGCTGTTCTTTCCTGCACAATTTACAAAGGTCAGATCTGCATGAGAACTCAGCTAGGAGACTACATCACTAAGGGCCATGTTATTTTCATAGTTTATTCTTTTGAAGGGCAAAAGAGTGATAACTTACAAAATGTTCTTGTGTTTCCTAATTCCAAATAGATGACTTTAATGTCACTCTCCTAGACTAATGCAGATAGGAGGAAAAAAATCAACTCACACAATTGGTATTGAGACAAAGATAATATTCTATTGCAATTTACTCATTTTAATCATCTTTATTAATTTCTGAAGTTATAAAAATATAACTTTCTTCTTATTTACTCTAAGCATATTTCTTTTTCTAGATGGTACCTGCTATACGTTTCACCAACAAATAAGATCTTGGTCTTAATGGCAGAAAAGCTAAATGGGTGGAGAGGGGGGAAGTTCCTAAATAGCTCAGAAAAAATATATGTGGGTCATTATGAAAGTTTTGAGAAACACAAAAATCAAGAAACATAAAATCTGCATGAATGGAAACAAATGAATCCCTCCCACAGACACCAATAAGCTGAGCAAATTGAAACATGATGGGCAAATCAGAAAGGACACTTTTGACTGTGCATCTTGGAAGGGAAATAATGAAACCCAACAGTCTATCTCAAAACTTTCATTGTGACTCATGTATAAGGGGATATTTCAAAAAGATCTTCATTATAGGCTGTTTCCACAACTTGGAGATTGTACTAGTTGTTTTTTTTTGGGGGGGGGGGGGTTTGGCCAGGGCTGGGTTTGAACCCAGCACCTCCAGCATGTGGGCCCAGCGCCCTACTTCTTTGAGCCACAGGTGCTGCCCACAACTTGGAGATTGTAAATTGAGCTCCGATAATAGTCTAGTGCAAGTGTCCTTATGGTAAAAAGATCTGTTGTTCTTCTGGGTAGATGACCATTTATGGAGTTGCAGGATCAAATGGGAGGTCTCGCTTGAGTTCTTTGAGGGTTCTCCATACTTCCTTCCAAAAAAGGTTGTATTAGTTTTCAGTCCCACCAGCAGTGAAAAAGTGTTCTATTCTCTCCACATCCACGCCAGCATCTGCAGTTTTGAGATTTTGTGATGTGAGCCATTCTTGCTGGAGTTAGATATCTCAGGGTGGCTTTGATTTGCATTTCTCTAATAATTAGGGATGAGCATTTTTTAATATGTTTGTTAGCCATTTGTCTTCTTTAGAGAAGTTTCTGTTCATCTGCCTTACCCAACGATATAAGGGATTGTTGTTTTTTCCCTGTAGATTAATTTGAGTTCTCTGAAGATCCTAGTTATAAATAAAGCTTTTGTCCAATTTAAAATATGCAAACATTCTTTTCCATTGTGTAGGTTGTCTATTTGCTCTGGTTGTTGTCTCCCCAACTGTACAGAAGCTTTTCCATTTAATTAAGTCCCATTTGTCTATTTAATGCCCACCAACCGAGGAATGGATTAACAAGCTGTGGTATATGTATACCATGGAATATTATTAAGCCATTAAAAAAGAGGGAGACTGTACATCTTTTGTATTAACCTGGATGAAAGTGGAACACATTATTCTTAGTAAAGCATCACAGGAATGGAGAAGAAAGAATCCTATGTACTCAATTCTGATATAAGACAATTGATGACCTAGTACATGGCAGCATAGAGAGAGGGACAGTGGGAGATAACACTGTTTGACACACCTTTAGGGATGGGACACAATTATAAGAGGGACTTTGCCTAACAAAGTATATAATTAAGCAAAATATTCTTGACCAAAATATTTCTCCAATAATTCTATCCCATGAGAAGGTAGTCTTTAAAATTATTTCTCATATGCCTCCTGGTGTGACCTTGAGAATGTCTCCACTTTCCTGCCTTTTCTCCACCCTCTAGAATGTAAGCCCTCCTAAGACAAAGGTCTAAAACCTGGCCATTATTAGGTTTTCCATATACCTTTCTTCTTCTTTAAGAATCCGTCTTGAACACATATTATAAATTTTCTGAAAGGTAATAATCCTCTCTTTATATTTAACTATATTATACAGAATTTATTTCTTCTTACCATTTGTTTTCTCTCCCTATTTTGAGATCTCTGCTCTGATTTAGTCATCATGATATGTTTAGAATAAGACATGGTTCTTGATGAGACACATGAATAGTGTACATTCAGATGTTTGCATGTTTGCAAGTGGCTTTCTTTGCCCAGACAGATAATGATATCTTGGCAGAGTTAAGTTCCTACATTGCTGTACTTCTTTCCTCTCCAATTACTGTGGATATTTCCTTTTTATCTTGGAACATAGAGTACTACAGATGAACTGTCTGATGCTATTCTGTTGTTCCTTTCTTTGTAAGCTGCTGAAGTTGCTTTTTAACATTATAGTTTGGTACCATTTCAGCTAGATATGTCCAGGGATCTGTATGTTTTACTAATCTGGCCCCAGATTCAGTGAGCCATTTTCGCCTGCAGATTCAAGTGTTTCTTCATTTTAAGTAAATTTTCTTCTGTTATTTATTAACTTAATATTTCTTCCCCATGTGTTCCTTTTTTCTCATTCTGGAACTCACATTATTTATATGTTGTAGCCCCTGGGTCTGTTCTTGAAGCCTGTTACCATCTCTTAAGATAGTTTTGCTCTGTTGTTCATTAGCTCTCCTTACCTGTTGGGAAATATGCTTCAAGACCCCCAGTGGATGCCTGAAACCTTGGATATTACTGAATCCCATCTATACTGTACATCATACTATGGTAACTTTTAATTTATAAATCAGACACTTTGAGATTAACAATTATTAATAATAAAGTAAAACAAAATGATACACTGTATTAAAAGTTATATGAATGTGCTTACTCATTCTCTCTCTCTCAAAATATCTCATTGTTCTGTAATTACCTATTTTTGAACCATAGTTGACCCTGGGTAACTAAAACTACAGAAGCAAAACCAAAGATTTGAGGGGACTACTGTGTTAGTTTTTTATTGCTGTAACAAATTATCACAAACATAGTGACTTAAAACAATGCAGATGTATTATCTTATAGTTCTGTAGATTACAAAGTTTGACATGGGTCTCAATGGCCTAAAAGCAAGGTATTGGCAAGACTGTGTGCCTTAATGGAGTCTCTAGGGAAAATCCATTGCCTTGAATTTTCTAGCTTCTAGAGACCATCCACATTCCTAGGCTTATGATCCCCTTTTCCATTTTCAAAACCAGCAATATTACATATCTTTGACCATTGCTTAGTGCTCACATCTCCCCTTTCTGCCTACCTTTTCCACTTTTAAGGACCCTTGTGATTACATTTAATCATATTCCTCCAGCTGAGCCCACTTGGATAATTAAAGATAATTCTTCCATCTCAAAGTCTTTTTTTATTACATCTGCAAATCTTCTTCTGCCATGCAAGATAACACTCAAGTGTTCCAGGCATTCAGAGTGTGAACATTTTTAGGGAACTATTAGTCTCTTTACCACATCTATATTGTGAAATGGTCCTTACATTTTTATCCTTTAAATCTCTAATTCAGTAAACAGCAGTGATTATTTGAAGGATAGACAAGAATGATGAGTGAAAGAAAGACTCAAATAGACCTAGTGATAATTTTCAGAGTCAATTACACTTTTACAAAAATATTTCCTGTCAGCCTTCGTACAGCCCCCTGGAGGAGCATACCCCACACTCATCCTGGTTACTGTGACTGGAGTGACTAACCAGATTATCTTGTTGTCTTACAGAATCCAGTGAACATGAAGACAAGAGTGCAGGTGCCTCAGGGGAGACGCCCTCCCAGCCTTACCCTGCACCAGTGTACAGTCAACCGGAGGAGCTAAAGGAACAGATGGATGACACAAAGCCAACCAAACCAGAAGACAGTGAGGAATCAGACCCGTTGCCTGATAACTGGGAAATGGCCTATACAGAGAAGGGCGAAGTCTACTTCATTGAGTGAGTTTCGCACATTTCTTTGAACGTTGCCATAAAGATCATGGCAGAAAAAAAATGATGTAGGAAGTGTACATGTGCTAAAAAGAAAACATGAAATTCTATTGCTTCTGGTAATCACTCCTTTGTGAAAGAATAATGAATGGGCATAAAATATAGCTATAAATCAAAGAATAAATTAAATAATTCCATTCTAAAATCTGTTACAATCATGACTTTAAAAGGCAAATCTTCATTTGATATTATTATTGAAGTAGAAATAAACTAGATATCAAGGGAAAATGCTCACTTAATTCCTAAAAAAAATAAGTGTGTAGACCAAATGAAATTTTTCTTCTTATTGTTTAAGTTGGACGTCCAGAAATGTCCGCCATCATATTTTGGAGTTTAGTCAGATGCAACTATTTAAAGCAAAATCTTTGCAGGTCACACACACACACAAAAAAAATGGTTTAAGCATTTGACCCAATAAAATAAATTGGTTTTGTATGAGTTCATCATACTTAATTTTCTAAATTCCATCCTATTGATTGCTTACCATTTGCTTACTATTTTTGTGACTTTCCAAGTAAACTGAAATTTAAATTTTGAACTTCTTGGTAATACTCAAATTAATCTTTTTTCTTTGAGGATAGTTTTCCAAAATATATTTTCATATATTTATTTATCTTCTAGGAATAGCACAACTTTTTTTAAAAAGAATTCCGAAGTGGAGGATTTGGGCATTAAGCTAAATTATTGATGTACTTAAGAAAACTAAAATATTCACTAGAAGGAATAAAAACTGAAAGTATTATAAATGAACTATATTCATCTCTAAGTTGCATAAGCCTCAAAGAGCAAAAAATAATAGAAACTCAAGTTCTCAGTGTTGATAGTGGGGTAAAAATATGTAAACTCTATTTTTTTAAAAACTATATTAAAACTGGATTTTCTCTCCCAACCTGCAGTGATTTATGACTTAGATCTCCATGGGCAGAATTCAGTTGTGAAATTGAAATGTTACCACATGCCAATATTTAATTTTCATGTGAAGTTGGAAACTCTGATCCATGTGGGCAAGGGACTACGTAATCAGGCAATTACTTGGTGCTCTGCTTGACTCCAACATGGACGACAAATGCAGTGTGTTGCAGAAAATGAGCCACTATTATTTCCCTTTTGGCAAATGTTTTAACTTTGCAAAAAGAATCTCTTGCATTATCATCTCTTATTGCTATAATGAGTGACTCCGAGACATATTTGATCAATTGGTTAGAAAAGAGAAAGATATCATATTTTAAAATGTGGTGACAGGACTGTGTCAGGCTACAGAAGCATATGGCAGTATCCATAAGAGTTAAAGTTCTTTGTAATTTTTGCTCTTGGAAGAACTTGAAGAAGGACAAAAAGGAGGTAGTTAGCTGGGGCCTTGAAGATATGGCACTTACAAAATGTGTAGGCAGATTATCGGGCCACTGAGGACAAATTATGAAAATGAATATGTAGCCTGAAAGTAGAATGTGGACCTAAATATCCAGAAGCTCCCCCATTGGTAAGACTTGTAACAAAATTAATATGAATAGATAATCCCAATGGGCTGATGGATTCATGGAGCATACCAGTAGTAGAAAAAAGGCAAAATTCATATAGCGTTAAAGTTGTACTTCAAAAGCTAAGTGATATAGCAATTTTCAAAAAAAAAAAAAAAAAGCTTCTATAGCAACAGGACAAATGTGCAAAATTAATTTTAGTACATCTCAGTCTTGTCTCAAATCAACAACCTTCTACTCATGTCAGTATCTTGATTAACTATTACAATGCGAAATACCTACACATTAAATTAAAAAAATTTACCCAGTAAACCTGACCTGGACATTTTTCTCCTGTTAAGGCCCTGTCATTTCAATGTAAGCCTGGAATTGCTCAAAATAGAATTCAAGTTTATAAGATGAAAGAGTGAAGAGAAGTGTCAGAGGGCCGGGGAAGCAAGTGTGTCTCTGAAAGGAAAAATCTCAAGAAGGAAAACGAGAAATGGCGTGCTTTATCCATCTTGTTTAGTGAAAGAGCTGCAGTAGCAAGTGTTTAAAGTAGCTGATATGATGGGTATCATCACAAATTGTGTGAAGTTTTAAAGCAGTGGGGATACTGACTACTAGTAGTATCAAAGATATATTCAGGATTTTTTTGATACCTGTATTTATAATAAAAAAATGTTGGGGAGTTGATGAGTTTCTGTTAAAAGCTGGCCCTGTGTTTTCCATGTAATGGGCGTGGTAGATATTTGCTTCTGTTCAACATCCATGCATTTAAGTGAAATCAACAAAAAGGGAATAGCGTACAGTGATTTCAAGATTAAAGTTAGTCTTAAAATGTAAAAAAAAAAGCAGTGACCAGCCAATAAATACTTAATAGTATTTATATCTAGAAACATAATTTTGATATTAAGATGGATAGATAGCATGACATCATTGTAGGCCAAAAGTCAATATACAAATTCTAGATGTGATGTCACAAATTGATGTTTAGAACAAATGATGTTCACAACAAGGAAACTAGAGATATACACATTTTTATTATATAACAGAGGAGAACTTAGGCTGTACAAAATAATCCAGTGTGACAACTTGATTAAAGAACTATTCCCTTACGATTCCAACAATGCAATTATAAAAACCTTCTTGCTTTGTGATTGTAAAATAAACTTTCCTCTTTTAGCTGTGTCAGGTTTTAAGGTTGTAAGGAAAATGGACTTTGGAAGACAGAAATTGTGCTCCAGGAATATAGTAAATAAGGAGGCTCTGTCCAGGCTTGAGAGGATGGAGCAAAATGATTCTCTTCCTCTAGTCAGCCAGCCAGTGTGGGCATTCAAAGAGTCACGAGATTTGGCCCCTGCACTCGAACTTGTTGTCAAGTTGAGGAGGAGAGACAAATAGTTACCAGCGGTTAGTAAGCAATTTCTTAATTTTGTAATAATATTCAGAGAAGTTAGATAAGCTTATTATAGACTTAAGGATGTGAAAAGAGGCATCAGAGGGAAGGTGAGATAATGTAGACTTGACAAGTTAATAATGTGTAGCTAGAGAACATTCCAGACATAGAAACTGTCGTGACAGAGACCTGGTCCCTGGACCTGCTGGGGATAGTGAGAAGACCCCCTCCCCACTCTCCCGACCCTACTAGAAAAATGTGTATTAGCTGCTAAAGCCTAGAAAAATTAATGCTTAGTTTTTGTTTCCCTAGATCATTAGTGCTTTCGAAAGGCAAGCAAAGGATTGTTTTTTTGTTGTTTTGGGTTTGTTTTTTAATCTTCCCAGTGCTGGAGGGATAGATCAATGGATGGTATTAAGAGCAGAGATAGATTGAGGTGGAAAATTAAAACAAAACGGAGAAGACAATTTCATTGGTGGGGAGAGGGCTGATGCCGAGGGAGGCTGATGCAGAGGTTAAGGAGAATGACAAAGCCTGGAGCGAGGGCTGAAGTGACTGCTGGGAAGGTGATTGACATAGGAGGCGGCCGCAAGGGCCGTGAGCAACTGGCCAGCTTAAAGGTCCTCCACAGAATGAGGCATCCCCCACCCCACACTTCATACTGGACCCATTTGCACTTCTGCTTTCTGTCCTCCAGGAAGGTTACCTTTGAATCTCTACTCTGGCTCAGGGATGACAGAGCGGGGAGTGAACCGGGGTTTTTTGTCCCAGTCCCTCATGTCCACACCCTCTCCACTGATTGCTGGAGTTGCCTTTCTCTCAGCCTGTGGTTCACTGCAGTTTACCTTCTTAGTTTTCACTGATTTTCTCCTAAACTGCTTTCATTCCTTGCACTGCAATGGCCCTTTCTTTCCTAATTGCATTTGACAATGTGAACATTTCCACCCGTTGTCACTGATCTGTGAGTACCTTTGCTGTCACTAACACAGGGAATTCTGTCATGAATAAAGCCTGCACTGTGAAGGGTCTTGGAAGCCTCCTTAGAGTAGGGGACGCTGATGGGGAAGGAGCACGGTGGTCCACTAAGGCCCTTCTTAGGGACAAAGCCAGAATGTGTCCCAGAGGGGGTCCTGAGGTAAAGTTATGGTAAGAAAAAGCCCAATGATAAGGAAATATAGAAATATGGGGAATATATTCCACAATGCAGAATGGTTAAACTGACCTAATTAACACATGTGTTACCTCGCATGCTTGTCATGTTTTTTGTTTGTTTGTTTGTTTGTTTTTACAGTTTTGGCCTGCGGCCAGGCTTGAACTCGCCACCCCCTGTATATGGGCCAGCGCCCTACTCCTTGAGCCACAGGCACCGCCTGCTTTTCATGTTTTGTATATGTGGTAAAAACACTTTAAATCTCCCTGGGCAACTTCATGAATATAAAACTGCACACATGATTTTTATTATCAACATAAAAAATATGTAAGAAAAAAATGATTTTAAAGAAAAAGGGTAGGGTATCATAAGAGGAAAGTAAACCAGAGGTAAAGGTAAAAGAGGAGAAATACAGACATTTGTGAGGGAAGAAGGGCCATTGGTGAAAACCTTTCTGTAACACAGATAAACTCCCTAACCCTAACCCTAACCCTAACAGATACAGTGGGGCCATTTAGAGTAATGGATGTCTCCTCTGGTATGTTGCACCCTCTCATAAAACTTTACTGAATTCTGTCTCTGAAATGAAGATCAAAATGAAACAGAGAAGGACCCCTTGGTTCTGTGAATGAAAGTAACAATATTACTTTGAGAAGACACATAATATATACAAGCCTATGTTTGTATTATAAGTTTTGAATTATAGTAACAAGTAATTCAGTTTGTCCTCTGTTAAATCATGTTTTGCAATATTTTATCTTTATTTGATATTGCAAAAATAGTTTAGATGGCTCAATCCTTGAAATATTCCATATTTGAAAGGTAAGGATTTTTTCTGTAGTTCTCAACACCATTGGTGAACTAGTGGGCCAAATATGTTTCCCACACTCCTCACACTGCTTCCTTTGATGAAGGATAAAAGTGGGTTTCTTTTATCATTTAC